GGCCTGGGACCGGTTCGGTTCCTAGGCGAAATATGTGGAACCGTTTGAAAATATGAAATTTTACTAACGGTTCGGTTCTTATAGATTATTTTGTAGAACCGATAAGGAACCGAACCGTTCTTAACGGTTCGGTTCTTGTCATTTAACGGTTCCTAGTATTTAAAAAAAATCTTACAAATCACGGTTAAATTTGTGTCAAAAATACATTCAACACTTGAAATTACAATACAAATATGTTGAACTTCATTTCAAACCTCAAAAGTTGAGTTTAAAAGATAAATACATAACAAACTGCAAATTTTAGAAAACAAAAACAAAACACCGGTAAAGAAGCCCAATAAAACCAGTTAAATGAAAAATAATTTCAAATAGTTAAATAACTAAACTAAAATAGTGAATGTAATATGAAAATAGATAAGTAAATATACATTAAAATATATATATATATATACTAATAAGAAATATATATAATTTTAATTATTATATATAACGGTTCCTTAACGGTTCCACGTACATATTTTTTACAGGAACCGAGAACCGAACCGTTAATAAAAAGTAGGAACCGAACCATTAACAAATAACTAATAAATTTTGGAACCGAACCGAACCGGGTCATAACGGTTCGGTCCGGTTCGGTTCTCCGGTTTTTGGTTCCAAAGTCCCAGCCCTAAATTCAATCAGGAAAATAGCCCAACTATACTTATTTTGATTATAACATAATGAGCACGCGAAATCAAAATTTATATATTTTATAAAAAAACTAACTAATACTACTCATAGCTAAGCCAACTCTTTTTCATTAGATATACGCTACAAAGTATAACATTCATTCAGAATGTTTTAACTTGAATTGAATTTTTATGGTCTAGTTATTTAAGTGTGGTCTAGTAGATAAATATATTGTCTATGTATATTTTATAAATGTCAAAATCTGATATGATGTATTCAATTCTAGTCTGATGTGATTTGATATGTGTACCTCTTATTTGATCTGACATGATATAGTCTAGAACTGAAATGAGTTCAAAGCTATATTCTCTCCGTCCGATTGGACTTTGTCAATTTTTGTTTTTGACGATCTGACGTGATAGTCATTTATTAGTTGCAATTTAAGCCATTCGTTTTGACGATCAAAATGATTGGACTCAGTTGCAATTTAAGCGGAAATCAATTTCAGTTGATATAATTCTATTTTGTTAGTACTATAAAGTAGTCGTTTGTTTAAATGTAATACTCTCTTTTTTTGGAATGCAATTTGAATACAACACCAATTATTTTTACGTCATTGTTGTTGCCACTAAGGTCATTGCTGATGTGAAAATGTCATTGTGATTGTCCTAAAATTTTCTGAGTGATTTTTTTTGACAACTTTATAAAAAAGAAAACATAATAATTTTATGACAGTTTTTTCTAGCGACTTTCCGGGTGGTCGCCAACATCAATGGATGCTGGATACGGCAATGGGACTTAGGTGGCATATAGGCAGGAAATAAAAGTAGAAAATTGTACATTTTTGAAAATTTAAAAATTAGTTATATTTTTGTCCTTAGAAAATTATAAAGGTAGTATTTTTTTGACATCTTTTCCAAGTTCATATACCCTGAATGTAGATTTTAAATGTATAATTTCTCAAAAATATAACCATATAGAGCCCTCAAACTTTTGTTAATATAGCATCTCACCACCATTTTCCAATATTTCAAGATAAATAAAAAAAGGTAATGCCTAAGATCACACTCTCCCGTAATGGTTGAAAGCAAATCTTGTGGAAGATACAATTGGGAAACTAAAAAGGAAGTTATGCATAGTTGGCTAGGCTATTAAAAAGTAAACACATGCTGGTGGGGATGTATGTTGAAAATGGTAAAGACCGGTTAACTAACTTAGGTTGTACTTATTACTATCCTCCCATTCTTTAATCGCAAAATTTTATGAAAAATATTGTTCAATTCATTTCATTACAAATTTTCATATTTTTTTTATTAATAGAGTATAAGATGTATTTACGGTCAAAAACGTGTGTTGACAAATGTGGAATGTTTGTTGACCATTACAACTAAAAAACAAAAGAATGAAATAAATAAGTATCACCAATCACCAATGAATGTTACGCTGATCCTATGGAAACAGCAGCAGTGCAGCACCAATGTTTGAAGCTAAGTGGAAAACGCACATTTCAATTCCCTTTAAAATCAAAGTCAATCCATGACATTTGCAGCTCTCCACCTAAACGATGGCCGGTCTGTGTTCACCAATAACCAATTCTAATCTCTTTCACCAACCACAGTTTAACTTCACTTTGAAAAGGAGATTTTCCTAAATAGGTTTAAATAAAAGTAAAATCGAGTTTGAAGTTTAAAATTTTAAAATAGGACTAACTCTTCATATTCTACTCTTTCCCTTGTCATTCTTAATAGGATTTTTTAAATAAAAATACACAGGCCTCAACCACCACCTCAGCCACCTTCCAGCACTGTCATCTCCGATCACCAGAAAAGAATGTCAAGTTTTAATAAATTAATGTTGTGACAGTGGTCTATATATTTTTTAAATATTCTTTAGGTATTTTATTTGTATTTTTTAGATTTTTTAAGCTTTTTTGAATATTTTAGTATTATTCTTTTATATATTTTTATTTTATTTTATTTTATTTTATCTTTCCTGATTTTATTATTAATTTACAAATATTTTATTATTTTTATATTATTATTATATTTTTATTATATATAAAATTATGATTTTCTTATTAAAAAAATAAATATATTAGAAATTAAAAGAAGGGGTAAAATAGGAAGAAATGATACATATTACTCCTATTTGAGGAACAAAATGATTATAGCCTTATCGGTACATCTAGAGTCACTTTAGTCCTATTCAAAGTTAATAGCCGGTTTAAATAAATATAACAACATCATTAAGAAAGGCTGGATCGCAGATTATTATTTTTGAACGAAACTGACTTAACTTAACATAATAGAACGAAAGCAGGTTAAAAAGTGACAACAAGTTTTCTGTCTACCGTCCGCCCTAGAACTAGACTTTGAATTAACCACCTCTGTAGAAGCAATACAATTCGCTGATCCCACTTTGGGCTTACCTGAGGCTGGCTCGGAGATTAAAAAGTCACGATATATATAACATAAAAAATAACGAGCAGCGAAGTTTTGGAGAGTCGGACCTGGGGGAAACCCTAGGCGGCCATCCCCAACCTCCTTCAAGGTCTGATTTCCAACCTTTTCTTTTTCAATAAGCAAAAAGTTTTGGAAGACAGTGGCATTCTCTATGCAATGAAAGATCAAATCAAAGGATTTTCAATGCTTTCACTCTTTTCTAATTTCTATTTTCGAGGATTTTGGTCCGGCTTCTTAATTGGCCGAGAATTTTGTCCGCTTCATGTGAGCATGTGGTATGTTATTCTCCTAGCAATGTCTAGAGTTTGTGTGTTTCTAACCGGGGTAATCGATCTGGTGAATTTTCGTTGTTCATGGTTGATGAAGCTTTTTCAACATTGTTGTTCCGATGCTTCAAATACTTGCCCATCACCTGAACCACCGCCTCGCTATGGGAAGAAGATGATCAATTGGATCTCCTTTTCGGTAGCTGGTCAAACTGATGCTTCAGAAAATTTAAGCTCAACTGATTTTCCTTTGTTGGTTGCTGGTCAAACCAATTCTTCCTTTCCGGTGGCTGGTGAAGCCGGATCTTTTAGTTGTAATTTTTTATTCTCTCTTTGAAGTAGCAAGAAGTGCAGCAAGACTGTTAGACTAGACTACATTATTGCGAGGTTAGCGATCTGGAAGGATTCATTGGATCTGTTCCGTTCTATGTCTCATCCCATTGTAGCCTTAGGCTATTCATTCTCTTGTATCCTTGCTATCGTTTAATACGTAGTAATAAATTAGTCATTTGATTTTCAAAAAACAAAACACAAAAATAATAGTTTCAAGAAATTGAAATTTCACACAGTAATTAGATATATACATATTTACCCTCTTACCTTTAATTTTAGATATCAATAAGCACTTTTAACGTTTCATAGAACACATGATACGACTATACTAGTTGTAGCGTCTGAAAACGATAGGGAGTACTACCTTCTTAACGTTGATATCTTCTCGTAGGAAAGTAGGTGAGATTATGAATAGTGAAAAAGAATATAAACTATTGAGGATATGTTGGGAAGATAAGGGAATAATGTGGTGGAATGAAGGATACATAAAAAAAAGTAGTTGTAATAGTGTATTATTTTCAAAATTATTGAGTATAATAAAATACATATGTATAATAAATATTTATAAGTAATAAAAAATATAGTGAAATTTTAAAATTTGATCCTAGATATAAATTCTTTTAAGTCTTGATCCTCCTAACCTAGAATGTCTGGCTCAACTAGTGGTAATCAATTAAATGGACGAGTCGTGCTTGGCGTACATGTTTTTTGTGTACACCTTTGATACTGGTAAGACTCGGGATTTCATCCTAAAAGGTCAACCTGATAGGAGGAGTAACCCATGTGTTAATATAGCACTTTGTTCATCTAAATGTTTCTGGTGTGGGACATTTAACACCCCTCCTCACGACCAGACACTTCGTCTGGATCGCACAATCATTTTTTTTTCTTTCACCGGTCCATTTTTTTCATCCGGACGTTTTTATAATCGTCTCATCATTTTTCATAAGGGGCCTCACACCATGGATCGATTTGTCTCTGATACAATGTTAAGACACGTGGTTCCATCCTAAAATGTGAACCTGATAGGAGGAGTAGCTCATGTGTTAATATAGCACTTTGTTCATCTAAATGTTTCCGGTGTGAGACATTTTGACAGATACACTTATCTGTTTACGCAGACATAGTTGTCTGTATATAGACAATTCTGTAGGACTCAACAGAATCGTCTATATACAAACAACTTTGTATGTCAATGGTGTACACAAAAAATGTGTACACCAAGTATTTTTCATGTTTTTAGCGAGTCATTTTCGATGGAGGAATGTGAAATGAAATGGAAGTAATGATTTGGTAATGTAATAATCATGGTTTGAAATGAAACGAAAGTAGGAAAAGTATTACTACTATTATTCTCTAATTTTCCATAAAATACCCCGAAAGCAGCCATAATGCCCATAAAGTCCCTCACCAACCAGGGCTGGAGCACCACATTTATTTATATTCAACTTTGGGTTCATAGCCTTTCAGGACACACGCAACGAATTCCACGAATCCAATCCTTTCCGTTTCGTCAACTTTCTCTCTACCTCAACAACTACATTGACAAATGACCACGGCGGAAGCGCAACCGGAGCAAGCCCCCGCCGCCGGAGACTTCATTTTCCGTTCAAAGCTCCCGGACATCCCCATCCCGAATCACCTCCCTCTCCACTCCTATTGCTTCGAGAACAGCTCCCTCTACCCGGACCGCCCCTGCCTGGTGAACGGCGCCGATGGGCGGACTTACACTTACGGCGAAGTGGAGCTCACCTGCCGGAAGGTCGCGGCGGGGCTTGACAAACAGGGGATCAAGCGGGGAGACACCATCATGATCCTGCTCCCCAACACGCCGGAGTTCGTGTTCGCGTTCCTCGGCGCGTCTTGCCGCGGGGCCGTCGCGACCATGGCCAACCCGATGTTCACTCCGGCGGAGGTGGTGAAGCAGATTAAGGCATCTAATGCCAGGCTCATCGTAACACAAGCCTGTAGCGTCGTTAAGGTAAGCAAATACTCCGTAACAAATACTTCAATTCGTAAGTCCGTGTCATTCACAATACATGACCGACCATACGTATACCTCGTCAATCACTACTCAAGTTGATCAATTCCAACATAAATATTTTTTCTCATAAACAAAATATACTCTGTCCCACCTTGTAATTTTGCTTTCTTTCACTTTCTTCATTTTCCTCCTTATCCCAACAACTTTGTTCCTTTTTCATCAATTAATTTTTTACTATTTTACTACGTATTATTTTCTTGTTCTAGAGAAACCACAACAAGTCAACAACAAAATTTCAACTTTATTATTCTCTTTACCAAAAAACATGACAAAGTGGTGAGGGATAGAGAAAGTATATTGTACCACGTATATATACTTCATTTTAACCATTAATATATTTAACCATATTTTAATAAAAAGAAAAAAATAAACATGATTTGGATTGAGGTAAATCTATAGATTAAAGAAATCATTACCCTATATATAACTTCTTAATACATTAATTAGTACAATACAATTAAAATATGGTAAGTGAATAGTGTAAAATTTGAACAACTATTACAACTTATTTTTTATAAATTTTATAAATACATAGTTCCACATCAGCACGGTCAACCATTAATTAAGGTTGACTTAAAAATAAAAAATGGGAATTTAATTTCGAGAGAAATGGATAAGATTAATATAAAACAAATCATTTTTCGTTCAGTTTAATAACTTGAACGACATACTTTTAATGCAAATTAAACGCATCATTGTTTTGTGAAATAGGGAATTGAAAAACTAGCATATTATGATGTAGTTCAACTTTAAGAAGATATATGGATACAAGAAATACTATTTGACTTGAAATTTGTAGTAGTTAGATATAAATGTGCATAATGAGAGATTCAAGGTCAAAGATATTGAAGTCGAACTCAGCTCATTGTTTGTTGATGCTTTTAGTGTCTGTTAAAAATGTTCTTGCTTTTGGCTTCAAGTTGAAATTTATATTCATTATTAGGAAAGTTGAAATTGTGTGTAAAATGTAGGTGCAAACATAATGTACTTTTCATATTATATGTACCTTGTTTTGTTTTGAAACACGATGAAAAGTAAACTTCTTCGTCTCAACTAATATTCGATCACTTTCATTGTTCTTAATTGATCCGGTTTCTTAATTATGATCTTAATATTGAATATTGATTATCACTTTCATTATTCTTGATTGATCTCATGAATTGCTTATTGACCGTCAATTTAGGACGTAATGATTAGATTTTAATTATAGGTTTGCATTGCTCTCATCTCATGAAATCAAAAGAAACATTTTAAATTACAAATTAAATATAGAAGCTGGCAGGGCTCCCATCCAAATGCATTTATTTTGGATCTCAACAAATAAAGATGTTGACTAAGGTTAAGAGGACAATAAATATTATGTAGAACACTCTAGATAATCAGGGGCATAGTTCACTTGGTAGGAATATAATGCAACAAGGTAGGAGAGCTCCCCTGTCTTTCCAAGATCAAAGCTCAATTTACATATTCTCATATAACTGTTCGATCAGTTCTGAGAAGTCCCCAAGAGAAGAGTTGTGATCCTTTTTAGAACGAACACTCCAATATTCTTATTGGAGTTATTCACTGGGAGCCCGTTTGGTAGCACCAAAATCGGCTGTTTTGGCTGATTCTGCTGAAATTTATGATATTCTGGCTGGAGTGGCTGTTTTGGCTAATTCTGCTGATTTAAGAAAAAAATATTTTAAAAATATATTTTATTAATAAATTAAAGAAAAAATTATATGTAAAAATAGCTAAAATGGTCCTCTACAGTAACTTCAGCCAATACAGCCAGAAAAGTAACTCCAACCTTACTTTTTCGGCTTATTACACAATTCAGCGCGCGAAAGTAAAAGTTACGTGTTTGGTGAAAAAGTTGGCTGATAAGCCTGATAAGCCGAAAACAGAGTTCTCCAAACGGGCTCTGTTTTTTCCAACCTTTGGGTTATTCATGAATAATTCAACCTTTGCACCTCATCTTCATTCACTGGTCCTTGACCGGTTGATGACCTGTTATTCCATGCTATTTTCTTATCTTTGCAAATCATTATACCATAAATATCATTTTTCACAAAGATAATATTTTGCAAAGATAAGAAAATAACTTGGAATAGTAAGTCATTAACCGATCAGGGACCAGTGAATGAAGATGAGGTACAAAGATTGGATTATTCATGAATAATCAAAAGGTGAGCTTATTGAAAGAAGACCGCTAAAAGGTTGGATTATTAGTTTTTATTTTCCAATATTCTTATTACCTTTTGTATAAATGAACGAACCATAAGTAAGTTATCAAGTGATAAAATGTTGCTACGTATATTAAGATTCTAGGCTGTTTGTCATCTCCTCCAATTAGATTGAACTACAAATTTAAAATGTTGCTACGTATGTTGCTACAAATTTCTTTTTCAAGAAATTCACTAAAACTGTCTTAAACAAAATTTGTGTGACTAAATCATTTCTACCATCTTTTTACTTTATCAACCTCACATATTCACTATTCTTTTTTTAAATTATGACGTCATCCCTTCATGTGCCAACATTATTGGCCGGGACATAGATAGCACTGAGTAAGAGTATCATTTTTAGTAAAGGTAAAGGAACACAACCATGAATAAACGAGAGTGCACCTACCACCCATTATTAGTTTTGAGATTCTGGGCAGCTTTGAATGCACTTATTTAATTTAATTGTGTCATTTTGTGTTATTTTCGAAAACATCCTCCAGATAAAAGAATACGCAGGGGAGAATGGCATCAAGGTGGTGTGCACGGACACGGCGGCAGACGGCTGCCTGCACTTCTCGGAGCTGGCGGAGGAAGAGGGGATGAGGGAGGCGGGCGTGAAGCCGGACGACGTGGTGGCGCTGCCGTATTCCTCCGGGACGACGGGGCTTCCGAAGGGGGTGATGCTGACCCACAAGGGGCTGGTGACCAGCCTGGCGCAGCACGTGGAAGGGCAGAATCCTCACTTTTACCTCCGCGGTGAAGACGTGCTGCTCTGCGTTTTGCCCTTCTTCCACATCTACTCGATGTCCATATTTCTCTGCGGGTTGCGGGTCGGGGCCCAGATCCTGATCATGCAGAGGTTCGACATCGTGCCGTTCCTGGAGCTCATACAGAAGTACAAAGTGACGATTTGCCCCTTCGTGCCGCCGATCGTTTTGGCCATTTCTAAGAGCCCGGCGGTGGACAATTACGACCTTTCGTCGGTTCGGATTGTCATGTCCGGGGCGGCCCCCTTAGGTAAGGAGCTCCAAGACACCGTTAGAGACAAATTCCCGCAGGCTACATTTGCGCAGGTAAAATAATTCTTCCTCTCGTACCATATTTTTGTCTTACCTACCAATTGACCCCGGATGTATTATACCTCCGTATATAAAACCAACTAAATAAATCATTTTTTCTTACAATGTCAATATTATTTGGGTCACTTTAGCCTTAAGCTATACTCAGTAAAAGAAATTACTCTTTTGACTTTTTAATATTGTAACAAAATTAGCATTGACGTTAACAGCGTTCTGTGATAAGCATGGTAACTTGTATGATCCAATTATTATATTCGAAAAATGTAAGAGTAAAGTTTAATGGAATTTGTTATGCCCACATATTCTTGCCAAGCCAGATATCTATGTATACTCTATTTTTCATTAATGTATTTTGTACAATTAATGTACGGGTCTGTCTACATTAATGAGATTTGGTATATATCTTCTCAATAAGTGAATTGCTCACGGCTCACCTAAATAGGTAAGTGGGCGTATATTCATTCCGTCATAAACAAACAGGGCGTATAATAAGTTATAATAGTGCGCGATAAGGCGTAATGTGTGGTTAGATATTCATGAACCTAACGCGCGCTTATCAATTGGGCAAATCTAAAAATGTCGGTATGCCGGTCTTGTCGTTTTGGACTCACCTAATGCTCCTTTTCCTTTTTAGGTAGATAAATTAAATCTGATAACGGCATTTAATAATTATTGATAATATGAAAATGATATTTATAAAAAAGGTGACAACCCCGGTATCCTTTTAAACTCCATAATATGTTGAATTAGATTAAAAAATCAGTTTAATTAAAATTGTCCTTATTTTTTTGTCGCAGCTATAGTATGGTTGAGTTCATATCTTATCTTTATCATTTTCCCACTCTTTTCTACCGATTTTCATTTTTGGGGGGGAATTCGCGGTGTTTGGAAACATTTATTCAGCCAACTTTAGTGCAATTTGTTACTCATATTTAACCTGAAGATTAAATTAGTGATTATTCTGTTTTGATGGAATCATGAGTAAATAATAAGTACGGTGATATGTAGGGATATGGAATGACAGAAGGAGGGTCCGTACTGGCGATGAGCTTAGCCTTCGCAAAAGAGCCTTTCCAGATCAAATCGGGGTCGGTGGGTACTGTGGTTCGGAACGCCGAGTTGAAGATTGTGGATCCGGAGATCGGATCCTCTTTGCCCCGGAATCAACCCGGGGAGATTTGTATCAGGGGCGACCAAATCATGAAAGGTACGACTCATTGTCTCTCGCAATCTTTAATGCTACGTTTAGAAATGGAGAAAAACAGTTGTGATGTACAAACAATATCGGAAGACCATAAAATTAAACTCGGGGTAAAAGATAGATTTCATTTGTAGGTATAATTCAAAAATGATATACACCTTTCACACAATTTAGAGCATCTCCAATGGGGATGTCTACTCTCTTCCACATTCTTACACACGGGTCCCATTTTTTATCTCACAAATTTTATGTGTAGGACCTACATATCTCCACATTTATTTTGTTTTTCATTTTTCTATATCACTTTTAACCCACTTTTCATCTACTTTTACTCCTCGATTCCCGTGTAAAGTCTATTTGTAGACATTGTCATACACATTGTCTACAATTTACTCCTATCTCTCTCTTCCTTTTCATTTTTCATACACACCACTTTCTCCATATTAAATTAAAGTAATCATTCTATCTCTATCTCTCTCCTATGCCACGTAGGATAGACTTTACTCCAATCCACTACCCCATTAGAGATGCTCTTATCTGTCTATACGGATAAAAAATGTCTATATGCATACAATTTGTTTGAAAATGCAAAAAAGTGTATGTACATAAACAATTTCGAAATTGGTGTGCTCGAAATGATAAGAGATAGAAGTGCACGAAATGATGATGGTGATGAAATGATAAATTATTGGTAAGTAGGGCTAAAAGCATTGACAAAACGTGGAAAGCTAGCACACAACAATTTCAAAATTGGTGTGCTCCGTAGAAAAATCAACTAACACGTTTACGCTAGAAATCGCAATAGGTATGTCTAGGGATGGACCCGGGCCGGGCCGGTTCCGGTTCCGGGCCGGGCCCGGGCGGGCTTTTTTTCGGGTTACATGGGCCCGGAACCGGCCCGGGTTGATACCGGGTCCGGGCCTAACCGGGCCGGGCCGGGCCGGGCCCGGTTCAATGTTTTTTTTTTTTTTTTTTTTTTTTGACTTTCTTGTTATCTCCCTACCCCCCCCCCCCCCCCTCACCCCCACGCCCCAAACCTCCCTAAAACACCCAGCCCTACCCTAGGAAAAGAAAAAAAATTGAAAAAACCAAAAAAAAAAAAAAAATGAACCGGGCCCGGCCCGAACCGCCCGGGCCGGTTCAACAAAAACAGGGCCCGGAACCGGCCCGCCCGACCCGCCAAAACGGGCTAAAAGCCCGGAACCGGCCAACCGGGCCCGGTCCGGTCCGGGCCCGCACAGTAGCGGGCCGGTCCGGTTCCGGGCCGGTTCGGCCCGGCCCAGTCCATCCCTAGGTATGTGGTTGGCGGAGTGTCCTTGTACCCACTTTCAATATTTGAATTTTATTATTAACATGAGAAACAATGACCAAAATAACTCCTACTGCGCGTTGCAACAAACATGTTTATGCGTGAAAGTACAGAAACAGAAGTGATTTTGATATTTAATTTACTCCTAGAATAAGTTAGTTCATGTACATTTTAAATAAGTGTGTCAAATTCAACTATTCAAGTTACACATTCATTTTAGGGAGGGAGTTGTGTCTTTATTCTTTAGTTAACCTTTTTTAGTCACTATTTTTGGCGCTAGAACGTCTTTGACTCCTTAGATTATACTCCGTACAACCTCTCACTAACATTAGGACACGGGGACTAATATTCTTTAATATTAGTCCCCTTAGGGTTTTGCACGGGATTTAATAATAAAGTAGTAGGGTAAGTATAGAGTGTGTAGGGTAAATGATAAAGTAGGAAAGATGATATATTAAAAAGAGTAAAATGATGATAAAGTAGGAAAGAGAGTGTATTAAGAAGAGTAAAGTGATGGTAAAGTAGGAAAGAGAAAGTAGTTTGTAAAAAGTAAGTGGGGCAAAAGTAATAAAAATGAGGGTATTTTCTCAAAAACTTTCCTTAAAGGGAAAGGAGACAAATAAAAAAAAACGTCCCAAAAAGAAAAGAAGGACTAATAAAAAAGAACGGAGGGAGTATTAAAAAGTGTATTTTTGTAATTGCAATTTTCTTTTTACAAATTAAAAAGGAAAGATAAATTAGTACGGAAAGGAGGACGGAGGAAATAGTAGTACGGAGGAGTATTTTATCATCATCGTGGCCAGCGGGGGTATACCAACAACTTGATATACAGAATGATGCTGACCTTACAACTTGATCCGTCTCCCTTTCCTTTATCTTTTATTGACATGGCACCATTAATACCACGTCAACACCAAGCATACCCAATTCACCAAAACTCTGATAATTTAGTTGACTTTGTTGAGTGCGTAAAACATGTGTTCATATTTTTGTAAACACTTTTTGGCAAGGAATGTGTTGGGAAGTCAAATTTGTTCACCTCTCAAAAGAGTATAAAGCGTGTGATGTTTACCTCCACCCTAAATGCTTGCCATGTGGTAAGGTCATTCTTTATAATTGGGCAATTGTTTTAACTTTTTTTATTTTTAATCAAAAGTTTTTAAAAAAACAACTTTTTAAATTTTTTTCGATCTTTTATATGGTACCAATATTGGATATAAAAATAAATAAAAATGCAGCTAAAAAAGAATATTAAGAAGAAAAAAAGATTTAAAGAAAAAAAGGAAATGAGATGCCACATAACATCAAGTGAGGTAAGGGGGTTATGTTCACTATCGGAGGAGGGGTGAACAAAATTGCACTCATGTGTTAGTGCGTGAAGTTAATTTCCCGTGACTTTATTATACATCCATCATACTTATCAAATGTAAACATTCTATGTACTTTGCATGTTTATTCATATGCACACATTGGCGGATCTATGGATCGGGGGTCAGTGTATTCACAATACTAAAAGTATTCTGTAATAATAAGAAAGACTAAACAAAATTTAGCATAATTATTTTTTATATTCAACTACTAAAAATGAAAATGTGTATTTTAGTGTTTTTAAGTTGTGTACTAGTCCTCAAATGTATTTATATTTATATTTATGAACCGCGGGGCGCAGGTTATTTGAATCAACCAGAGGCTACTAAAAGCACGATTGACGAAGAAGGATGGCTGCATACGGGAGATATAGGGTACATCGATGAGGACGACGAGCTGTTCATTGTGGACCGACTGAAGGAGCTCATCAAATACAAGGGCTTCCAGGTTGCCCCAGCTGAACTTGAAGCCTTACTCCTTAACCATCCCCTACTCTCTGATGCTGCAGTCATCCCGTAAGTCGATCTCCCTTAATTAGCTTTTTCAATGAAATATATGGTTGGAGTAATTAAAAATAGTGGATTAATATAAGCCTCCGTGAATGGTATTTACACAGCATGAAAGATGAAGAGGCAGGAGAAGTTCCAGTTGCTTTTGTTGTTAAGTCGAATGGATGCAGCATCACGGAGGATGAAGTTAAAGACTTTGTCTCCAAACAGGTCTGTTTTAAATCTCTATTTTATTTTGACTCTTGAGGAATTTTTTGTGAAAACAAAAAGTGTACTCCCACCGTCCCTAAATGTTGTTCCAATTGCGGATTACGAAGGTTGACCGACGATAAAGTTAAATGATCCCTGTGAAAACTCGGATTATTTTTAGTAAATAAAATTTACATAGTCAAAAACTACATTAAACCCGCTACAAAGCCTGCAAAAAATAATTCCACTTTTATAAAATTTTGATATAAAAAGTAAGAGTTTAAAAGTGATTTAAGTTGACCCTCGATAAACGAAATGAAACTTCTTTTAGGAACAGAGGACGTACATTTTTATGACTGTCAAATCCATACTCTTTATTAAATAAATAAATAAATAAATAGTACCGCATCCATAGAAAAAGGCAGGTAACACATTAAAATTACACCTACTCTGCCCCGTTTTGGCTTATATTATACTCCTGTTATTTTTGACACTTTGACTTGAAAAGATTAAAGAAAAAGTTTACTTAAATTTTACATTATTTGACATTATTTTACATTACTTGGTAGAGTATATGTTTTGACATTATTTGACACTATTTTATTCTGTTTTGTGTTGTATTGATATATTTTTGTTTATCAAATAAGGAAACAAAAAAGTGTGACATACATTTTGAAACATCCAAAAAAAGAATGTGTCAAAGAATTTGAAACAGAAGGAGTATTGATTTCTATGAATGTTCAAACTATTTTTAACAAATAAAATTTAAACATTCATTAAATATATTAAAAGTTTTAATAAATCGCAGAAAAGTTGAAATTTAACAAAAAAAAATTGATATATGAAACAAAAGATTAGAAACTATTTAAGTTGATTGCACTATAGTTACCGAACACTTCTTTTAGGGAGGCGAGTAGTAAATGAGTATTTGATTGCACAATAGTTACCGAACACTTCTTTTAGGATACTAAGGCAAACTAAATAGAGTGCACGTAAATAAAAGGTCAGATTAGGATACTATGACTGAGAAAATATTAATTAATTGTAATTTAATTGTAGCAAAGAGAGGTGAAGCTACATTAAAAGGCGCCCAATTTGAATCTGCCCATGTTTATAAGTTTTTTATGCTTACTAAAATAATGGGAAAATGCAGCATATTTTTTATTTCAAACCCTTCCCTAATGTTTTTTTTGTATGTCCAGGTTATATTTTACAAAAGAATAAAGAAAGTATTTTTTGTGGATGCTGTTCCCAAGTCTCCATCAGGAAAAATTCTAAGAAAGAACCTAAGGGCAAGACTAGAAGCTGGACTGCCCAATTAATCCTCTACATGCGACTAGGAGCCTTCTGAGTTTTTTCCTTACACTTTAATTTTCTACTGTTGTATAATAATTGCAATTATTGTCAATAATGGTATCAAGAGTACTCTTCATAAAAGTTTGATTATTTTATATCCACATTAGATTGTATACAAGTCATATTTAAACAAAAAAAAAGAATTATAATACCAATGAAAAAGTCGGATGTCTTCGATAATATGCACATTAAGAGCCCATTTGGTAATACTCAAACTGTTTTAAATTTATGAAGTTCTGAAAGAAGTGGTTGGATTGGCTCCTTCTGCTGATTATGATAAATGTATATTTAAATTTTATTTAATTAATAATAAAAAAATTATATGAAAAACATCTGAGATGATCTTTATAGTAATTTCAGCCAATACAGTCAGAAAAGTAACTTCAACCTTACATTTTTTTATTATTACATAATTCAGCGTGCAGAATAAAAATTATGCGTTTGATGAAAAAGGCCGGTGATTGATAATTTTGATAAGCTAAAAAATAGGATCACCCAACGAGCTCTAACATTTTGCATGTGAAATGATGAAATGCAAGTTAAGGAAATTCATCACTTTACTTCTAAAATATAGAGAGTAAGGGTCTGTTTGCAACAGCTTCTGCTTTAAAAAAAGTGCTTTTTTTAATGAAATGGGGAGAAGTGATTAAATAAAAGTTGATAGTGTTTGAGAAAAAAGTGATTTTGAAAAGTAAAAGTGGGTAGTGTTTTGGTAAAATGAGTGTTTTTTGTGTAATAGAGAAAGTAAAAGCACTTTTGATGCGGAAGCCGAGAAAAATAAAAGGTGTAATGTTTTGGAAAATAAGTGTTTTTTTAAAACCAAAAGTTGAGAAGTGCTTTTTTAAAAGCAGTTGCAAACCAACCCTAAATAAATTCTTTGGTTAGGTGTATAATTTATGAGCCATAAAATACCTCCTTTATACCCCTATTTTTGTTTATCTACACGGACTACTTGCATTTTTAGACAAATTCCTTATATATAAGCAAAAATAAGAATGTAAAAATGATGTATTTTATTTGCATGGTATATCATGAAATTTAAAAAAATCATATAATTTACATTAAAAGCCCGTTTGATGACCATGTTTTCGCCAAACACATAACTTTTGATTTCACGCACTGAATTATGTAAATAATAATAATAATAAAAAGTAAGATTGCAATTATTTTTCTGACTGTATTGACTAAAGTTACTATTTCGAATTTTCGAGTAATAGAAGATCATTTTAACTATTTTTCATACTACCTCCGTCCCAAATTGAGTTGCAAATTTGACTTTTCTTGGTCAAACTATTTGGTTTTGTTCGCTTGATTAGGATGCCAATTTTTATTTATATTCTAATTTGGAGTTTACAACTTTGAAGATATTTTAATGTAGTTTATGAATATATAAATTTTAATTATTAAAATTAAATTAATTATCAATAAGGAGGATTGACTTTTATCATTGATTGACTAAAAAATGTTGACTTTGCAAAACAAATTGGGACGGAGGAGTATAATTTTTCTTTCTTTCAAATAATTCACTTTATACTGCCTATCATTTTAGCAAACGTGCTCCTATAAATCTATAATATGGTCAACATAGTTATCTTCACATGCGCTCCATGATTCCATTGTCGGCTTGCACGCCATCATGCCTGAAGGTGAGTCGACCCAAATAGCCCCAACCTACGATCGAATGCTCTACAGCTAGAAAAATGTTTCACATTTCGGTGAACACCTTTTGTACATTCGTCTGTCTCATGCACATAGAGTTGTCTGTTCACAAATAACTCTGTAGAATTGTATGTAGAGACAGATGAATGTACAAAAAGTGCACACAAAAATGTGTACACCTAGTATATATAGCTCCTACAACTAAGCTAACCAGTGTCTCAATAAATCTAATTCCCAATCAGTTGACACGTATTCACTAAGTCAATTCATTTTTTTCGTGCAACCCAACTCTGTCAATATATTCACTCAACACATTTTGTTTTTAATCAAATGCATAAATTCTTACTTTTTATTACATATCATTTGTGTGACAATTTTATTTTTACCAATAATTATGATTTAAAAAGTCAAACATTCCAATGTAAAAAAATAAAAAATGTGAATTAATTTTTTCGTAGTATTAAAAATGTACATTTGATTTCAATTTGCAATGAATGTCTATAAATGAAAAATGTTACATTATTTTCTATATTGCTATATTATTTATTTTTCATTTTTAATACTACGCTTTTGTTGAAACACATGTTATTAAATTGAAATACTAACAATCAAATATTAGAAACACACATAATATTGAGTACAATACAAAAAGAGAGGAACAAATCCTAATATTGTTAATAGATTAAGATTGAACAATGAGATTTTAATTTCAATCTATTATGAAAAAATTTAGATAAAAAAACTCTCCAGCAGCTGTGCAACCGGTGAAACTTCATTTTTTATAAACTTTATATATGCAATATTGATATCATTTGAAAGATCATAAAAAGTTATGATTTTTGTTATATTTTTTTTATAAAATTTGAAGTGTAAATAAAAAAGTTATAATCATTTAAATAATAAATGTTTTATTTTATCTTGGGTCCCACATCCCGCTGGTCTCCCGTGAATGTAGGCCCTGTCAATGGGTCGGGTCTAGACCCGGATCCGACCCGGACCCGGTTATTTTTAATGGGTACGGGTCTATATATTATTATTATATTTGAAAGTACTCCAAATAGCGGTCATCCCGCTATCTGCTATAGCGTTTTGGGGGCTGCCCGCTCCGCTCCGCTATCTGGGATTGACAACACTGATATTTATTAATAACAATAGGCAGCAACACAAGTGGCTTCAATGTGACATTGGCTACTACCAACTTTGTGTAACAACCCTTTGACATTTTAGGTGTCAAAACACAGTAACAAGGCTATTAAGCAATCAGTAAGTGTACATGACTCTTACGTGCTGCAAATATCTTTTTTTTTCATTTTTTTCAGAGATTGCAGCTTGTTTATGTCACCTTTCGGGAATATTAATTTACCAATCACAATTAGCAGCAAATATAATGAATATCCATCAATCATTCTACACAACTCAAATACTTAAACAGCCGTGTAATGGATTAAATGAATAGATTTACAAACTGTGAAAACCCTTTCTAAAATTTGTATCCGGAAACCACTCAAACCGATTTGGTCAAATTTGAAAATCATATCATGAATCTGGAACATGTAACCAAATCACCTGAGACTAAACAAATTTGTAAATCATATCATAAATCATATAAAAAATGTTATCAATCAACTTACACGACTCGACAGATACAAATTCACTAATTAAACTATGGACGAAGATATTATATATATACCCATCTGCGTTCCCGTGGTCGGATTACGGGTGCCGCCGTTGTTTGAGTCTGTTAGCCTACATTATTAATTTATTCATTTTCATGTACATATATTTTTATGTAACATTTTTATGTACGTACTTTGTCTTTGTATTAGACTAGGAAAGTAGATAGCATTTATCATTTTGTGATTTTCTTTCCTAAAGCCTCGCATAGCTAGTACGTAGATCGCTAAGTACTCGGCATTACCGAGTAGCATATATTGACGCATATGTGTTTGTAATCTTCAAGAAATACAGAAAATATTTCCCAAATACTCTCTTTTCTACATGGTATCAGAGCAGGTTAATCGGGATCGACCGATTACGCTCGTGTGAAGCCGATATGGCCGGAGAATCGAACCAAGGCGGTGGAGATGGCCACCGAGAACACTTGGAACGAAGGAAAATTAACGATCCCTCATCACCTTATTTTCTGTCAAGCTCGGATCACCCGGGCATGATGATATGTGCCGTCTCTCTCAAAGGAGAGAATAATTATCGGGAGTGGAGTACGGCAATGAAAAACGCATTCCGTGCCAAACGGAAGATGGGTTTTCTTGACGGAACCATTGAGCGACCTCTGACTGCACCAAAGGATCTTGAAGACTGGCTAACTGTCAACTCTATGACGGTTGGTTGGATTATGACCTCTGTGGATCCGGCCTTGAGAACTAATCTCGCCTACATGGAGAGTGTACATGATCTCTGGATTGATCTAGAGGGACGGTTCTCAGTAGCAGATGCCATGAGAACACATGAACTCAAAGAACTTATCCGAGATTGTAAGCAACATGGTCAAACGATTACTTCATACTTCGGGCAACTGAGATCTTTATGGGAAGAGTATGATGGAGTGCGAAATTTTCCCCAATGCAAATGCAATGGGTGCACATGTGACCTCAAGAAGCGGTTTCTTAAACACGTAGAATCTGAAAAAATTCATGATTTTTTAATGGGGCTTGATCGAGAGACATATGGAACTTTACGTTCCAACATATTGGGGACGGATAACGACTTGCCTTCACTGACTAAAGTGTACCAATTGGTGGTACAAGAAGAGCGGCATCAGAATTTGACACGAGGAAAGGAAGGAAAAACCGAGGCAGTTGCATTTGTTGCACGTTCCGGAGCTACCGCCGGAAAAGAAGAACGAGTAAAGTGTACATACTGCCACAAGCCGGGTCACGAGATTGAAAATTGTTTCCGTCGTACTGGAGTTTACCCGGATTGGTGGCAAGACAACCCAGGGCGCTCTGGAACTAGCCGCGGAGACAGGGGCCGTGCTGCACCAAGCCGTGGCAGAACCGGACGCGGAGGTACAGGACGGGGAGCAGGTCGTGGTGGTGCGCAAGCCATGCACGTTGGAGGACATCACCCGGAGAATTACCCGCAGCAAGGAGGAAAAGAGATTACTGCTCTGCATAAACCCAGCTTCACTGATGAACAATGGGAGATGTTTATCAAGTTGATGGAGAACTGCAAGGCATCAAGTTCGGAAGAAAAGCTCTCAGGTACACAGATTACTAATGAATGGCTTCTCGATTCAGGTGCCTCGTATCACATGACCGGAGATACCAGCATTCTTACGGAGATTATGAGAATACCGTCGGTGATGGTGACCTTGCCGAACGGTGATATTACTAAGGGAACACATATGGGAAGCGTCGAGATCAGTAGAAGCATGAAATTGATTAATGTCTTATTGGTTCCGGGATTAAAATGCAATTTAATTTCTTTGGGGCAATTAATTGATAATCGAAAATGTGACATATTTTTTACTAATGATTTATGTGTAATACAGGACCTACTTATGAGGATGCCGATTGGAGTGGGTGAACGGCGAGGTGGAGTTTATTATTTCCGGGGTCTGGAGCAAGCACAAGCACTTGCAGTGGGAGGTTCAGATTCAGGAACTTTGTGGCATTCAAGGTTGGGACATCCATCGATACAAGTTTTGCGTTCACTTGGTTACTTGAATAAAGCTTTGTTGCATTCTGTTCAAAATAAAACGTGTGATGCTTGTATGAGAGGCAAACAGACACGCGATAGTTTTGTTATTAGTAATTCTAGAGCTGTTGAACCATTTGAATTGATACATTGTGATATTTGGGGTCCGTAGCGTGTTATGTCATCTTGTGGTGCTCATTATTTCTTGACTGTGGTAGATGATTTTTCTAGAGCCGTGTGGGTACATCTGATGAAAGAAAAGGGTGAAGTTAAAACTATTCTTAAACAATTTTTTGCCATGGTGAATAGACAATTTAACAGAAACGTGAAGGTAGTAAGAAGTGACAATGGCAAAGAATTTGTGGGCCTCCAAGAATATTTTTTGAATAATGGGGTAATATTTCAAACATCTTGTGTGTATACCCCTCAACAGAATGGAAGAGTAGAACGGAAGCATAGGCATATTTTGGAAATGGCTAGGACCTTGCGTTTTCATGCTGACTTGCCTATTACTTTTTGGGGGGAGTGCGTGTTAACTGCGGGATATTTGATCAATAGGTTGCCTACTCCTATGTTGGATAATAAAAGTCCTTATGAGTTGCTATACAACAAAATGCCGTTGTATAGTCAACTACGGGTTTTTGGTTGTCTTTGCTATGCCCATGTCTCGAAAAACGATGGTGATAAATTCGCCCCTAGAGGAATAAAGTGTGTGTTTTTAGGATACGCCTATTCCCAAAAAGGTTGGAAAGTTTATGATCTACAAAATAAACGTCACTTTATTTCTCGGGATGTGAAATTCATCGAGCACGAATTTCCCTTCCGGATTAAAGAATCTACTGAAAAGGAGGATGACATAGAGATCATTCCTGCATGGGAACCCCACGTACCTGGAAATGAAGAAATTGAAACACGGAGCATGTGTGAAGGAACTGGAGCTTGTGATAGTGACGCAAGGGTAGGCAGTGGGGCGTCCGACGTGTTTCTTCATCAGGGAACTGACTCTCAAACACCTTTGACTGGTGTGGATGCCGAGATGGATGCTAATCACACGGATACTCACGTAAGCGTTGACTCTACAGGGCAGCACCGCAGGAGTACTCGTCCGCGAAAAGCTCCGGCATGGCATACGGATTATGATGTTCAAATGCACACGATTAGAATAAACTCTCACCCCGTCGTCAAGCCTACTCCTACGGCCGAATCAGGTACTCCTTATTCACTATCTCATTATATAAAATATGATCATTTTTCGGTTCCGCACCGAGCTTTTCTTGCAGCTATTAGCATGACTAAGGAACCAGCTAGTTATACAGAGGCTGTGCGAGACCCACGTTGGAGGGAAGCTATGATCCGAGAAATACAAGCTCTTGAGCGTGCTGGGACTTGGGAGATTCGTGACCTGCCACCCGGAAAGAGAGCCATTTATTGTAAATGGGTGTTCAAAATAAAATACAAAAGTGACGGATCGGTGGAGCGTTACAAGGCTCGGCTTGTTGTGAGTGGAAATCGCCAAGTCCAGGGGATCGATTACAGTGACACTTTTGCTCCGGTTGCTAAAATGGTAACGGTGCGTACCATTCTGGCGGTAGCTGCCTCCTGCCACTGGGAGCTGCATCATATAGACGTAGACAACGCCTTTCTCCATGGAGATCTTCACGAAGAGGTCTATATGCATCTTCCCCAAGGATACTCTGCTTCATCTCCTGGAAAGGTGTGTCGCTTACTCCGTTCTCTGTATGGACTGCGCCAGGCACCAAGATGCTGGTTCTCTAAATTAACTACGTCCTTGCGCGATTATGGGTTTACACAATCACATGCGGATTACTCTTTGTTCACCATGCGCAAAGATAGTCAAATTATTTGTGTGCTCATTTATGTGGATGACCTGCTAATCACAGGTAACAGTCGTACCATGATAGCTGCATTTAAATCTTATTTGGCTGCTACGTTTCCTGTCAAGGATCTGGGTGTTATGAAATATTTTCTTGGGATTGAAGTTGCAAAAAACCCCACCGGAATTTTTTTATGTCAACGAAAGTACGTCCTTGATATTTTGGCAGAAACCGGGATGTCTGGATGCAAGCCAGTTGCATTCCCTATGGTACAAAATCATCATTTACAGTCTGATGCTGGTCCTTATTTTTCTGATCCTGAACGCTATCGCAGGCTGGTTGGCAAACTTATTTATCTGACCTTAACCAGACCTGACATTAGCTATTCAGTACATATTCTTTCACAATTTATGCAAAATCCTCGGCTGGCTCATTGGGAGGCAATGCTTCGTGTGCTTCGGTATATTAAAGGACGGCCAGGCCAAGGTATATTGTTGCGCTCCGACTCCCCTTTATCACTCACTGGTTACTGTGATGCTGACTGGGCAAGTTGTCCCAATACACGACGCTCGGTTACTGGGTATTTTGTATCTCTTGGGTGTTCTCCAATTTCATGGCGTACCAAGAAGCAGGCCACTGTCTCACGATCTTCTGCAGAAGCCGAACACCGGTCCATGGCTTCTTTAATTTGTGAACTTATTTGGCTCCGAAATCTTCTTGGTTCCTTGGGGGTGACCCACTCCGGTCCGGCTCGTCTCTATTGTGACAATCAAGCTGCACTGCATATTGCATCCAATCCGGTCTATCATGAACGGACCAAACACATCGAGCTTGATTGTCATTTTATTCGTGATCACATACAAGCTGGTACCATTACTCCAGGCTACACACCTACCACCGAGCAACCAGCGGACCTACTCACTAAAGCCCTTGGTGCTCAACAGTTTTCATATTTACTCGGCAAGATGGGCATTTGCGACCCCCATGCTCCATCTTGAGGGGGGTGTTAGCCTACATTATTAATTTATTCATTTTCATGTACATATATTTTTATGTAACATTTTTATGTACGTACTTTGTCTTTGTATTAGACTAGGAAAGTAGATAGCATTTATCATTTTGTGATTTTCTTTCCTAAAGCCTCGCATAGCTAGTACGTAGATCGCTAAGTACTCGGCATTACCGAGTAGCATATATTGACGCATATGCGTTTGTAATCTTCAAGAAATACAGAAAATATTTCCCAAATACTCTCTTTTCTACAGAGTCCATTCACAAACGATGAAGAAACGAAAGGATATGTATTGGTCGAACAATTGGACTGGCGGAGTCGTTTGATGAGGTCGTTTGGACGATGGAGCAAAGGGAGAAGCTATGTGTGGGCGAATAGACAGGAGGGAGAAGGGACGGAGTTTGCAGAGACGAGGGGAGTCAGGACGATAGGTTTCCTACGATGGACATTGGAGCGGCCGAGCTGTGCAGATAATGTTAATTTAGCTTAGGATGTCTGATCTGGTTCTTATCCGTAAATGTACTCCAATCCCTCCCTAATGCTGCCCACACCCGTTAATAAATCAAATTTACCAGCATTTTATGCGTATCGAGCCTTCTCCGCGCACCACTGATATTACTCGGCGCACCGATTTTGTTTCAAAAGTGGACAAGAATGTCCTTAGTGATCACGCCACTACAAATGAGCACCATCCACTTTTCTGTCACTAACATAAACGGAGCAGGACATTAGAAGTGTATCTCCCTTTTATTGATTTTTTTTATCGTCCCTTTTATTGATTTTTTAAAAGCCCTCCTTGTATTCCTTCTTTAAAATAAAATAAGAATATTATATATTTTCCTAAAATTCTTTTCAAAAAATCCTAAAAATCCTAATAAGTAATGCAACTATCTTTGATACATACTCAAATTGCTAATATAATCAGGATTACACTTTTTACCCCACCATTAAACAACTACTCCCTCCGTCCCTCAATTAAGTTCTCACATTCCTTATTTGTAAAATTATCTATATCAAAACAATCTGAACAGTGCAAAACAGTACCAAACAGTGTCAAACAATGTTTAAACAGTGCAAAATAGTGCACTCCACGGTAAAGTCAAATCTATTTTCTTATAATTTTTTTTACAATCTTATACAATGGAGAATGAATCTTAAAATTATCTAAAAAATAGTGCTCTTGACTTCCAGACTTTTGAGCGATTCATCTGCCCCACTCTCTGTATCCAAGTTCTTCTTCTTCTTCTTCTTCTTCTTCTTCTTCTTCTTCTTCTTCTTCTTCTTCTTCTTCTTCTTCTTCTTCTTCTTCTTCTTCTTCTTCTTCTTCTTCTTCTTCTTCTTCTTCTTCTTCTTCTTCTTCTTCTTCTTCTTCTTCTTCTTCTTCTTCTTCTTCTTCTTCTTCTTCTTCTTCTTCTTCTTCTTCTTCTTCTTCTTCTTCTTCTTCTTCTTCTTCTTCTTCTTCTTCTTCTTCTTCTTCTTCTTCTTCTTCTTCTTCTTCTTCTTCTTCTTTTACAAAAAAAAAGCCTTCCCATGTAAAGTACAAAGTTTTCACTTTTGCATGTTTTGCTTGCACGTTTTCTTGTTCTTGTTGCACTTTTTTTGCTATAGCGAAAAAAAACCGAGTTATTTTCAAAATTGCCGCCGTCATTTTGGCCGGTTTTGACAAAATTCACAATTGTGCAAAAGTGCAGCGGCAACAAGCAAAGGTGCAAGCGAAATATGCAAAAGTGAAACTGTGTACTTTGCACGGGAAGACCACTTTTTATCTGAACTCTTCCATATACATACACACACAGTATATATTTTCATTCATCTTTATATTGAATAATATTGTCTAACTACGAGATGACAATATCTAGAATGTTTTTAATTGAGATGTTTTCGGTCCTAGATCGACCAAATTTATCTTCATTTATAGTTCTATATTGAAATATATTTTTGAATATGTAACATTTTTAATTCTAGTAAATTAATTATCTTTTAAAACTCCATCGACACAATGGTGATTCGGCATTACAGACATATATGTTACATGACTAGAGATTTAGGATGTGAATGATATTGAGAATGTTTTTAATTGAACTGATTTTGATCCAGACATATTCAAACAAATCAGATCAGACCTAACTAGACTAGATTTAAATAATACTACGTAGATACATTTATCATTCATTCACCAGACCTGACAAAATGTTTTTGTTTTTTAATTTTTACATATATGATATTGGTGTCAGAAAAATGATCATACAAAACTATTTAATTTTAATTTTATAAAAATAGGAGCAAAATTGGATAAGTTAAAACATTTTATAAAAA